CAACCATTTTACAGATACAGAAACTTGTTTTCAGAGGAATTATGTAATATTCCCCAGGTGACATAGCTCCTAAACTAGATTAGAACAAACTGGCTCCAAAGCTTAGGCCCTGGTACAGCCCACACCCTTAGCCTCTGCTCTGTCCCTTTGGATGTGAAATAGGATTGCATTTGGCTGCAAGTAACAGAATCTGACCATGGCACAAACAGGTGAGGCATTCATTACCTTATATCCAGTGCTTAGCGCAATGCCTGTTATATTTGTTAAATGAATACAAGAGTGATTTCCTTAAGTAATAATTCTGCTAATATCTTGCATCAATATAACATTTTATTGTTAGTGTTCACTCCTGGTAGTTTCTGGAAGTACTGGCATTCTCATTTAAGAGGTAAGAGAGAAGACCCTGTGCTGTTTTACCTATGAAGACAACTCTGTGCAGAGGCCAGAACAGGTTTTAATGTAACCATTTTGCAAAGGAGAAAACTGAGGCTTAGGAAGTTTGAATGACTGTCTAAAGCCACAGAGTGAGGACCCTGCAGTGTAGAATTCAAAAGTTGTTTTTCTGATTTTGAGATCAGTAGCACTTCTCTGTTGCTATATGCTCTCCTCCAAATAACATGGTAGAATTTAAGGTGCTTATAATTTCTTTTCTCATTAGCATTTCTTTCTTTCTTTCTTTTTTTTTTTTTTTTTTGAGACTGGTTCTGGCTCTGTCTTCCAGGCTGGAGTACAGTGGCGTGATCTCAACTCACTGCAACCTCTGCCTTCTGGGCTCAAGCAGTCCTCCCACCTCAGCCTCCCAAGTAGCTGGCATTACAGGTGTGCACCACCATACCCAGTAAATTTTTGTATTTTTTTGTAGAGACACAGTTTCACCATGTTGCCCAGGCTTGTCTGAAACTCCTGGGCTCAAAACAATCTGCCAGCCTTGGGTGGTGTGAGGCACAGTGGGTGTGAGGCACAGTGCCTGGCTTATTTATTCTTTGTTTTTGGAGACAGGGTCTCACTCTGTTGCCCAGGCTAAAGTGCAGTGGCAGTGACAGCTCACTACAGCCTTGACCCCCTGGACTCAAGCATCCTCTGCCTTTGCCTTCCATAGTGCTAGGTGTGAGTCACCCTCATTAGCATTCTTTAAAAATGTGTGTAGACATTTTACTAAGGAGGTATTTTATTGAACAAAATAAGTGAGATGTGGCTTGGTGAGGAATGGGGATGGTTCGCACTAGCTTCTGTCCTCCCCTGCCCTCCCCTGCCCTCACCTGCCCTCCCCTACCTTCCTCTCCCCTCCCTGTGTGTTCTTGGGCCTGCTTTGGAAAGCATCTGTACAGCCATGTGCTGAAGGCAAGGAGAGAAAACATATTAGGTTCTCTAATATGATAATAATATTAAAGAAATTTATGGTGCCCCAGAGGGAGAGAATTACAAATGGATGAAAGGTGACTATTTAATGTACAAGCCTTTTTTTTAGGGCGTAAAAATAAATAGAGGAAAATAGAGTGCAAAAAGAACCTGCAGTGAGTGGAAGGCAAGTGGGTCTGCTTCGCTGGCGCCTTGGCTGCAACCCAGCACCCCGCATAACGATGGCCATTTTTCAAATAGCTCTGCAGTCTCGCACTTCTTGGCCAGTCTTAGGAGCTTTCTAGAGCTCCTAGTGAATGAAGAGCAGCTTTGTCCTGGTCTCTCTTGCCTGGCTCCTTCAGGCCTCATCCTCGCCACCTCCCTCAGGGCATGGCACCCGTCCTTGGGCCAAGCAGCAGGTTGCGGAGAGGACCAAGCTCCTTTCTTCTTTGCTCCCTCAACCCAATCTGTTATACTAGGACAGTCTATGTGCATACTAGGGGTAGCCCTGTGAGGGACCAAGGAGCCCGTCTCCCAGGGAAATGGGGCCTTTGCTGGCATGCACAGTCAGGGGCCTCTGGGTACTCTGGTCTCTGGAACAGCCCTTTTTCTTCCCAAACTACCAGATAGGTTGTAGTGAGCTCTTTCCCTCGTGGGGACACCCAAGGGCCTGCACCCTGGATGTGCAGCCCAGGGTGGGAGTTCTGTCTATGGCCCTCTTGGTGCAGGCCTCAGTCTGCCTTGAGTCTGCCCAGCACCTCCTACTACCCTCCCTGGGGGGATGCTGCCAGGACATTCCATGTGGGCTCATTTCTTCCCTGAGATCCAGCCGCGTTTCACCAAGGCCACTGGCCATTCAGTTAGTCAATTCTCCGCTTGTTTCCCCATTTCAGGCTTGTGAAGCTTAGGCCCTGGTACAGCCCATATCCTTAACCTCTCTTCCATTCCTTTGGATGTAAAATAGGATTGCATTTGGCTGCAGGTAACAGAATTCGACCATGGCCCAAATGGGTGAAGCTTTCACTACCTTATGTCCAGTGCTCAGCATAAGGACTGTCATGTTTGTTAAATGAATACAAGAGTGAGTAATTTCCTTAAATAATAATTCTGAGGTTGTGTGCAGTGACTCATGTCTGTAATCCCAGCACTTTGGGAAGCAGAGGTGGGTGGATCACTTGAGGTCAGCAATTCGAGACCAGCCTGACCAGCATGGTGAAACCCTGTCTCTACTAAAAATGCAAAAATTAGCCAGGCATAGTGGCATGTGCCTGTAATCGCAGCTACTGAGGAGGCTGAGGCAGGAGAATCTCTTAAACTCAGGAAGTGGAGGTTGCAGTGAGCTGAGATTGTGCCACTGCACTACAGCCTGGGTGGCTGAATGTGACTCTGTCTCAAAAGAAATAAAAAGTAAGAAAAATAAAAATTAAATGTGAGAACTTATTCCTGAGAAGAACCCTGGCCCTCCACCTGCTACAGACTTAATAACCACAGCGTTCTTTCTCCTCTGACCCAGCCTACTACATTCCTCCCACCTGCTGATCTGTCCCGCAGGTGGTCTTCATGAGCTTGAAGTTTTCCTCTAAGCTTTTCTTTCTGGTTCCTGTTCTCTTCACTCTGACCTCTTGTTGGCACAGATAAGCCAGACGGCCCCATCTCAGTGTGGCATAGAGGAAATGATTGGTTCCCTTCAGGACCATATTGGGTAGGGTTGGTGTTGAAGGTCCTGGGCACTGGGGGGGTAGGGGACAGGAGGCTTGTCTTGTCTTCATTTACCTCCACCACCACCCGCTCTCCACCATTTGGGCCGTGGACCTGCACCTCTGTTGTTCCAGCTGAGCCCCCCACGTGGGCCTGGCTTCTGACTCAGGAAAGAAGGCCTGGTCTGCAGCACCTGGGAGCATGTGCTGTGAGGCAGGTGCAGGGGGCTCCCACAGGCTGAGGCTCCGTCCCTGCCTGGCCTGCATTTTGGTTCCTGGGGAATCTGAGAATCAGCCAGCTCTCTAAACATCATGCAAGTAAGCAGGTCATGTGAACCACTGCTCTGGGTCTGCTTCTGGGATGTGTCCATCCTGCCTCGCTCCCTGCTGCGAGGCCAGAGCCTGAGCCAGAGCTTCGGTCTCCCTGCCCTTGCATCACCACTGTCCTAGCTGCCTCTGTGTTCCTTAGTTGCTGAAAATACAGTGCCAGGGTGCCTGCTGCACATGCTCGCTGTCAGAAGTTGCAGATGAGCACTGGGATACCTTCACTTTCTTCAGACAGAACCTGATAATGCATCTCCACTTCTGCTGCCTTTCAAAGGCAAAGTAAGCACGTGCAGAATTCAGTTTCTTCAGAGTTTTGTCAGCAGGAGCCAGCCCCCCAAGCCTGGGAACTTGGATAGCATCAGGTATCTGGACTTGTGAAGCAGGGGGCTGGGTCCTGGGGACTGGGGAGCGTCTGTCTCTCAACAGCCAGTAGCAGGCCACTGCCTGGTGGCTCTGTGACAAGCTCTCCTTTTTCAGAGGCCCTGTGCTGGGCCCAGAGACAATGGTGTCTTCAAAAGTATATGTGTCCTCTGTTGCTTCTCAGGGCCTGATGCAGTCTTAGATCACTAGTGCCCAACCTGAGAAAGGAGTCTGGAGGGAAAATAACTTCTTTGGAGAACATATGCCTCTACAGCTCTGCACAGATTCAGATACAATGGGGAGTACCCTGGTCAGCTGGGAAGAGTCCCTCAGTCTTTTAAACAATTTAGGCAGAGAAGGGATTTTCCCCCTCTAAATTGTTCAACTTTAAGTTCCTGTACAAGATGTGGGTGTGATATTGTTATCCCTCTTCCTTCTACTTTTGTCTGCTTTTGTTGGTAGAAAACCATGTGACACCAAATTTCTACACTTCTGTTTAATGTCTCACTGTGCTCAAAGTCTACAGCCTTCCCGAAAGATTTGTTGAACAAAACTGATGGGTCCACTTTACTGAAGCCAGGAGAGCAGCACCACCGCCTGCTCCGCACTCCTGCAGCTCAGGAGCTCTGCAGAGTTCAGCCAAGGATTATGCGCCTCGGGGAGGAATCTCAGTAGGAGTAGGTCACATTTAGAGGGACTGAAGTTGGGACACTTTTCGGGTTCTGGGCCTACTGCATTTTATTTTGTAAGAAAAACCAGAGATGACTCATCTAACATAATCTGCATAAAAATGATATGTAGGAGTTTTTGAATAAAAATAAACCATAAGTCAGTAATAAATCCTTCAGAGGCCTATTGGGAATGGATAGCAGTAACGTTGTGTTTACTGCCTTACTCCCAAAGTACAGATACTTGTTATTAATAACTCAGGGCAATTCATGGTACTCGCTTGGCATTTATAAAATTCTCATCAGAGTATTAGAGTAGGAACCCATTTCCTAGGAAGTCTTGTTATGATAAACCATAATTAGTGGCTTGTAAACAGACATAATTCATTGTTTAAAGGAAAAGGTATGTAGACAGTGAAGTATTTGTGTGCAAAGCCCCTCACCTCTCGGAGTATTTCCATCAGGCTTGTTGCTCACTTGGAACACAGGTCATTTACACAGCCCCAGGCAGGAATCCTCGCCGGTCACAGCCAAGACTTCTCAGGTCAAGATCTCTGCTGAGCCCCGGTCCCAGAGCCCTCTACTGATGCAAGCCTCTGTTCTTTTACAGCTTCCTCATCTGGATGCCTAGCAAGTCGGATTCCCCAAGCAGAAGCCGGGCAGCCCACCTGGAAGAAGAAGCTGGGCAGGTGCTGCAGGTTGGGCTCACCATGACACAGTGTGAGACCTCGGGCTACAACACAGGACCCGGGCGCTGCTCTGACCCCTCGTGTCTTGTGTTGCAGCCGGAGGGACGCAGGTCCGCAGCAGAGCCTGCTCCGTCGACCTGAGGGACTTGACATATGGGACTGCACAGAGACCATGGGAAAGCCCAGGCTCTGGTGGGCAGGTGGGTGGAGTGTGGAAGAGAGGCCCACCCGGACCACTCCAGGTGTTGCCCCCTCTGTCCCCTCTCTTGTCCTAGCTCAGTCTCTCTGTACACGGCTCTGCCCACCCCTGGCCCAGTGCAGGTAGCTGGTGCCAGCTGCAGGGTGACACAGCCTACTTTGGGTCTGTGCTTTGAGGATGCCCTCTGCTCGTCACCTCCACACCCCACCTCCACTCCCCAGGCCAGGTGACTGAGGCTCCACAGTGAGGTTGGGAGGGTAGCAAGGAAGGCAGTTGCTCCCCAAACATCTCTCCCATTGGTGGGAAGTCCACCACTGGACCTCCTCCCAGCAGAAAAAGCATTGCATTTTTAGGAGTTGTCTGTTAAAATGTGAATATTTTCTGCAAAGTGGGAGATTAAACCACTGCAGGCCTCAGCTGGCTTCATTGATGATATTTCTGCCAACATGACAGAGACTCCAGAAGAAAATGAAATCAGATCATCATCTTTAGTAGAGAAGAGGCCCCGACAGAGGACTCTAAAGCTGGAGGTGAGAGCTGTCAAAAGCAAGGTTCCTTCACCCATGCAGGCTGTCACAGCACTGGGGTGGGAGCTTGGATGCAAGGTCTGCCTGGTGACCCTGCCTTCACAGCTGAGGGCTATGGGTCAAATTTCTCCAAAGCCCCTGCCCCGGTGCAGCATCCTTCAGTCAGAACCAGATGAGCCCCTGGCCCCCAGGACTACCTTCGGGTTACTTTCCACACCAACCCTGCGTCCTAGATAGAAAGCATCCATTTATTCCCCTGCTTTTCACCAGCCTCATGGTGTTCACAGTGCCTCCTCTTTTACAAAAAATGGACTAGCTTTAAAATGTAATTAGTTCAGTGTTTTTCCTTCTCTCAAATGATCCGGAGGGGACTAGCATAAAATGACAGGCTGCATTTAAGTGGAAACTGAGGGGAAAGCCAGGAAGTTGAGAGGATTGAGATGCAGGGAAGGCTCTGGGTCATGTAGCAGGTTCCACTACAGAACAGATGAGGTTAAGGCAGCCACGCTGCCTCGTGTGGGAAACCTGGAAACTGTCTTTGTGGTGTCCTGCTTCGTAAAGGCTGTCAGGAGCCAAACCAGACTGGGACAAGTGCAGAGCTGCAAGTCAGACAAAACTAGAGAAAGTAAATTAGTGTGAACTAGATAGGAATCATGGAGGCAAGCCATGTTGTATGATTTTTATTATTATGTTTTCATGGAAAAGTTACTACTTGCTCTTCCCAAAGCCACTAGGTGGAGCTGAGCAAGAAGGGCCTCGAGGTAAGGAATCTCATGCTGGTCCAGGGCAGGTGGGTACGGAGTGGGCACTCCCAGAGTCGCTCACCATGAGGAGTTGGAACTGAGCTGGGTGAGGGGGGCATCTCTGTGGCAGGGGGCATTGTCAGGAAAATTGGTTACAGAGAGTAATCAAATAAGTAAATATATTCAGGAAAATAGAACCAGTGTGTCGCTGTCAAAGGAGAGAGCTTTCTAATATGGAAAGGGAAGACACCAGAATGAACTGTGGTGTTGGTGTAAGGTTGGAGGTATTAGTGTGAGCATATTGTTTTTAATAGAGATAGGTATCAGAAGCATACACACACACACACACACACCATTCCCTACCTCTGTGCACTGAGAGGAGCCTGGGAGCTATGATATCTAATAAATCTGAACACCTTGTGCCAGATTTTGGTGTCTAAATATCATTTCCAACTGAAAGGGCCCAGAGCCTTTTGGAGAAATAGCTGATTCCAGGACTGGGGCAGGAGAGATACAAAAGGAACTCAGATCATCTTATAAAAGAAAGTAAGAAATCTCTTTAGAAAATGATGAAGACTTGTCCAAAGGACAAGAAATTAGATGAAGGAGCTCCCACTGGCCATATTTGGGATTATTTAATCATCAAAATACATATGGCCACCTATAATCCCAGAACTTTGGGAGGTCAGGAGTTTGAGGCCAGCGTGGCCAACATGGCAAAATCCTGTCTCTATTAAAAATACAAAAATTAGCTGGTGGCAGGTGCCTGTAATCGCAGCTGTTTATGAGGCTGAGGCAGGAGAACATTTGAACCCAGGAGGTGGATGTTGTAGTGAGCCGAGATCATGCCACTGCATTCCAACCTGGGTGATAGAGTGAGACTCCAACTCAAAAAATAAAAACAACAAAAATCCATATTGCTAGTAACAGATGATAACTGTTATAAGGTAAAGTAGGAAATCATGGACCCGTGCTGACATTTCAAAAGGAATAAATCAAAAGTTTGATAAGCAAAAGGGTATTTATGTAATCTCAAAATATATCTCCACTAATTACAAAGACAAGAAAGTGACTTAACTGCGGAAAAGCCTGACAGTTGTGTCCCATTCATTTGTTCTCTGTTTCTTTAATTTTGTCATTTTGAGAGTGTTATATAAATGGAGTCATACAGTACATAATCTTTTTAAGTTAGGCTTCTTCCACTTGAAATAATGTCCCTGAGACCAATGCAATATGCATCATGTTTCAATAGCTTGTTCCTTTTTATTGCTGAATAGTATTCCGTTGTAGGGATGTACTGCAGTTTATCCATGTACTCGTTTAGGACATTTGGGCTGTTTGTATATTTTGGTTACTATGAATAAAGCTGCTATGAACACTGATGTAAAGTTTTAGTTTCCCTAGGATAAATGCCCAGGAGTGCAAGTACTGGGTTAAATGTAAGTATATGTTAATTTTATAAGTAATTGCCCTACTATTTTCTAGAGTGGTTGTCTCATTTTACATTTCCATCATCAATGTATGAGAGATCCATTTTATCCACGTTCTCACCAGCATTTGCTATTATTATTTTTTATTTTAGTCATTCCAGTAGATTTGTGATGATATGTCATTATGGTTCTGTTTTATTCTATTTTCTGTTGGTATAACAGAATACCATAGACTGGGTAATTTATAATGGATAGAGGCTGGGCATAGTGGCTTATGGCTAATCCCAGCACTTTGGGAGGTCAAAGCAGGAGAATTGCTTGAGACCAGGAGATCAAGACCAGCCTGGGCTACCTAGTGAAATGCCCGTCTCTAAATTTTTTTTAAACTTTTAAATATATATAATATATTTAGTTCACAATTCTGGATGCTGGGAAGTTCAAGAGCACAGGCCAGCATCAGATGAGGGTCTTCTTGCAGCATCATAACATGGGGGAAGGCATCACATGCCAAGAGGTGAGAGTATGCATGTCACTCAAGCCTCTCTTTCTTATCTTATAAAGCCACCAGTCCCATCATGGAGGACCTATCCTGATGACTCCATTAAATCCTTATTACCATCCAAATGTCCCACATCCAGTTAATTTATTAAATTGGGGATTAAGTTTCCAACACATGAAATCTGGAGGACAAATGCAAACCATAGTGTGTTTTCGTTTGCATTTTCCTAATGGTTAATGTCTTTTCAACAACTTTTCTATGTTCATTTCATATCCTCTTTTGTCAAATCTCTATTAATGTCTTTTGCCTATTTTCTAATTGGATTGCTTGCTTTTTTACTATTGAGTTTGTGTGTTCTTTATATACTGTCAATGTAATTCCTTTGTCAGATATGTAGTTTGCATGTATTTTCTCCCAGTCTGTGGCTTGTCTTTTTCATCCTTTTATGGTCTTTCACAAAGCAAAAGCATTTTAATATATCAATTTGTTCTTTTATGGATCATGCTTTTGGCACTGGCTTTAATGTCTAATGATGTTGAACTTAGCCCTAGGTGTTAAAGATTTTCTTATATGTTTTCTTCTAAAAGTCTCATAGTTTTACATTTTACATTTAGGTCTCTGGTTCATCTCGAATGTATATTTTTTTGAAACAGGGTCTCACTCTGTCACCTAGACTGGAGTGCAGTAACACAACCACAGCTCACTGCAGGCTTGACCTCCCAGGCTGAAGTGATCCTCCAGAGTAGCTGGGACTACAGGTGTGCACCACCACATGAGCTAATTATTTTATTTTTATTTTGTAGAGTCAAGGTCTCCCTATGTTACCAGAGGTGGTCTCCAATTCCTGGGCTCAAGTAATCCTCCAGCCTTGGCCTCCCAAAGTGCTGAGATTACATGAGCCACCATGCCCAGCCTAATTTTGTTTTTTTGGAGACAGGGTCTCACTCTGTCACCCAGGCTAGAGTGCAGTGGCATAATCTCAGTTCACTGCAACCTCTGCCTCCGGGGTCAAGCGATTCTCATGCCTCAACCTCCTGAGTAGCTGGGATTACAGGTGCCCACCACCACACCTGGCCATTTTTTTGTATTTTTAGTAGAAACAGTTTCACCATGTTGGCTAGTCTGGTCTTGAACTCCTGACCTCAATGATCTGCCTGCCTTGACCTCCCAAAGTGCTGTGATTACAAGTGTGAGCCACCATGCCTGGCCTCAGCCTAATTTTTTTTAATGTAAGATTTGAGGTGCTTGTAATCCCAGTGCTTTGAGAGGGTGACGCAGGAGGATCTCTTGAGGCCAGGAATTTGAAAACAGCCTTGGCAACATAGCAAGACCCCATCTCTACAAAAAAAATATAAAGATTAGCTAGGTATTCTGGCATATGCTTATGGTCCTAACTACCTGGGAGGCTTAAACAGGAGGATCAGTCAAGCCCAGGAGTTTGGGGTTACAGTCAGCTCTGACAATGCTACTGTACTCCAGCCTGAGTGACAGAGTAAGACCCTGTCTCTTAAAAAAAATGGTGTCAGGTTTGTTTGTTTGTTTATTTATTTATCTATTTATTTGCCAATTGGTCCAGCACCATTAGACTATTCTTTTTCCATTGAATTGTTTTTGTACCTTTGACAGAGTTCTTTGGACCTATTTGTGTGGGTTTATTTCTGGGTTCTCAATCTTGTCTCATTGGTCTGTATGTTTATTCTTTCACCAATACCACACTGTCTTGATTACTGTAGCTATATAGTAGGTCTAAAAATTGGGTAGAATTACTTATTTCACTTTGCTATTCTTTTTTGCAAGCTTTTTTTGCTATTCTAGATCCTTTGCTTTTCCCTATAGATTTTTAAATAAGCTTGTTTTCAAATTTTAAAAAGGAGACATTTTAAATAATCCTGTGTTTATCCACATCATCACCATTTCCATGACTGTTTACTTCTTCCTGCAGAGCTGGGCCTTTATCTAAGATTATTTTCCTTTAGCATCCTTTTGCAGTGTGGATCTCTTGGTAATAAATTCTTTTTATTTTTATTTGTCTGAAAAATACCTGTAGTTTGTCTTCATTTTGAAGGATATTTTTATTGTGTTTAGAATTCTAAGTAGACAGGTATTTTCTTTTAGTGCTTAAGAAACAACATTCTACTCTCTTCTGGCTTCCATTAGTTTTTATGAGAAGTCAGTTGTATTAGTCAGAGTTTTCCAAAGAGACAGAACCAATAGGAGATAGAGAGATAGATATGGGAATAGTTACAGATATATGGGAGAGGATTTAGTACAGATTTTGTGATCATATGAGCCTGTGATGTCCTATGAGAGACCATTTCCAAGCTGGAAACCTAGGGAAGCCAGTAGGGTGGTTCAGTCCCACCTAGTCTGCATGCCTCAGATCCAGGGAAGCTAATAATGTAACTCTCAATCTGAAGCCAAAGGTCTAAGGGGACTGCTGGTACAATTTCCAGAGTCCAAAGCTGGAAAACCTGGAGTTCTGTTGTCCAAGGGCAGGAGAAGAAGGGTGCCCCAGCTCTGGGGTGGGGGGAGGAGAAATTCACCCCCTGCCCTTTTTATTCTAAGGTCCTTCAGCCAGTTGGATGTTGCCCATCCACCTGGAGTGGATCTTCTTTACTCAGTCCACTGATTCAAATACCAATCTTTTCTGGAAACAGCCTCAGAAACATACCCAGAAATAATACTTTAAAGCTATCTGGGTATCCTTTAATTCAGTCAGATTGACATCTAAAATTAACCACCACATCAATCATTATTGACATTGTTCTCCTGAATGTAACATGTCCTTTTTACCCCATCAGCTACTTTTGATATTTTTCTTTTTATCTTTGGTTTCTGAAGTTTCTCTGTGATGTGTGCAGGTGTGCTTTTCTTTGGATTTTCTGCTTGGGGTACACTTAGCTTCTTGGATCTGTAGATTGACACATTTCATCAATTTTGGAACAATTTTATTCATTATTTTAAACAATATTTCCCCTCATTCTGTGTTCTCCTTCTGGGACTCCATACATATATGAATGAGCCACCATGCTTGGCCAGATATTTTTGCTTATCATTATTTTCTTTATGTGACTTATTTTGGATACTTCTTACTGACCTATCTTTAATTTATGGCTCATTTCTTCTTTGGTGTTCAGTTTTCAGTTATCCTCTCTAATGAATTCTTTATTTTTGATATTTAATTTTCAATTTTAAAAGAACCATTTGGTTCTTTTTAAGACCTCTTCTTTCTCTTTTGGGATTTCTCATTGGTTCACTCATTTTACATCTTTTCCTCTAACTCCTTTAACATATTTATACTAATTGTTTTGACAAGTTCTTATCTGGCAATTATGATATCTGAGATATTAATGGCTATGCTCAATTTGCTTTTTTAGCTCTTTATTATGCATCACATTTCTTAATGGATCAGATTTTCTTGTAAGTTTTTCTGAGTGCTAGACATTGTGAATGATACATTGTAGAGATCCTGGGCTATGTTGTTTTAAGTTTTATTCTGGTAGGCAGTTAAACTGCTAGTGGATTTCTTTTCTTTTATCTTGTACTGGTTTTAGGCCGGGGCAGGTTGTTTTGTTTTGTTTTTTAAATAGTTAAAAACTTTTGGGAAATGAATTATAATAAATCTCAATGGAAAGTCAAGGGATAAGTTTTAAAGTCATAGGAGGATTTATATTTATTTATTTAAGTCATGAAGAATGCCTATTTTAGGACCTAATAACCCATGATGTGAACATATTGAAAATGATGGATATCCTGGTTTTCATGAATTTGCTGGATTCAGATTCTAGCCCAGTTTCAACATTTTAAATATCAGGATTCTTCTGGGTAGAAGTCTGAGAACTTTGCCTGTTTTAACACATCTTATTAATCACGTCAAGTGGTCGTCAGCAAAGCTTTTAATATTTAATGTTTATTACAGTCCCTGTATTACACATAATTAGACAAGTGTACAAAAAGGCTATCTACAAGGGTGTTTATTGGAACATTATTTATAATACCTACAAAGAACATATATGACTACCAGTAAACGACTGGTTAAATAAATGCACCAAAATCTGTACAATGGAATGGTATATAAATAATATATCTATATTTAAGGATAGAAAAATGTATTCATTGTATAGTAACTGAGAACAGGTTATTAAACAGAGTATGCAGTATGATCCACTTTCCCTAAACAAAAGTATTTGAGTGTATAGAATATATACATATATATATATTTTTTTTTTTTAAGGAAAATACTATCTTTAAAAGTCAGATAATAAGTAGTGTTTACTTTTTATGCTTGCACTGAGGGTTCCCAAGAACATCTTCAGGTTCTGTGACTCACTGGTAGGACTCAGAAAAGCTGTTATACTAACAGTGATAGTTTATTACAGGAAAAGAACACAGATTAAAATCAACAAAGGGAAAAGGCACAGAGGATGGAGTCCAGGAAAAACTAGGGAATGCTTCCAGTTTTCCTTACCCAGTGAAGTCACATAGATAGTGCTTCATTTTCCCAGCAACAATGTGACATGCACAAAGTATAGCCCACCAGGGACACTTACTTG